GTATTCCTTCTGTTTAGATACATAGGTTATTAAATAAGGGCCCTAACTCATAACACCGGCCCAATATGGATTCACATCATCATAGCATCATCACCAGCCTATTAATGTCCCCCACCGCTGGGGCTCAGGCCTTCCATTGATAGAATCGAATTGACTTGCAAGAATGGGCCATGACAACATTGCCAGACGTCCCGATTTTTAAATTGAAATTAAATGAGCCGCGTGGGACAGGTTTGGTCCCGCGTTCGGGGATAACTCGGCCGTGCGTGCAGCGTGCTGAGGAAGCGCAGCCGGGTGCCATGAACTAGTGGATTGGCCGCCCGCCCGGCGCATAATGATAAATAGAGGTGGAAATAACGACTATAAATTTTTAAACGTTGTTACGTTGTACGATTTTTAATTAGCGTTTTTTAAAACTGCTTATTGATTAAAGGCTTTTCTTAAATTGACGTTTGTAAATAGTTATGATAAGCGTGGAATGTTGTGTTGTTTTTTATGAAACTAATTTACTTCAAAATATCATATTTTTATTTTAACACATTACTATGGCTATTTTAGCTATTAATTGTCACGTAAACGTAATTTGAAACTCGAATTAAAAAAATATTTGATAACTTCTGATTATATACGATTTTTAACTATGTCCCGCTTTCGACGATAGACGGTACCAGCGGCTTTTTTCTTACATAAAGAGTCTCTTCCGTAGTATCAGCTCCTGCTACGGGAGGAGAACAAACAATTCTCCTCTTGAAATAAATTATATAATATTGCACCGTGCAATATCGTATAATTTATTTGTATCAGATTACCCGAACACTACATGGCATTATTCATAAAGTCCGGCCAATGTGATAAATAAAGAAGTCGAAATCACAGTTAGGTACCTGTTTTGCCCCTTAGTTGATTCTCATAATTTATAATGCCTCAATCTTGGCTTCACTAGGTACATAGCATATACATAATGGTTATAAAAGCAGTTTACAAATTCAAGAATATTTTGTTTGAAAAAAAAGCTGTTATAAAAATGAAAAAAGTCTGAATATATTAACAGTCTATTTGGATATTCAATATTATTATGCACATATTTTGTTAAAAAAAAACGACGAGCTGAGAACTTCGTATATATTATATTGAGATGCATATCGAATAATATAACTTTTTTATATTATTATGCATCTCAATATTTTTCCACTATCCACTTTCATTCTGGAATTACCCTGATTTTCCTTAAATGTAAGCTTCGTTAAAACAGTACTTCAAAAGAAATCAACTGTATCCAAAAAAATATCTGCCCTACAGAGATTGTCTCTAATCTAAAGGATGCAGTAACAAAATAAACTCTATTTCGACTTAATTACAACTCAAATTTGCATCGATACGAACAAATCGCGATGTATTAAGGTCAATCCGCTTCGTACAATTTTTTCCGTTGGGAAAGCATTCTTTGTTGCAATGCAATATAGAACTTAAGTCGTAACGATTAGTATGAAAATTCTGACTATTCTCAAAAAATCTTTATCGTTTCGTTGACCATAAACTGGACTTAGATTATCTTTTTATCTATGCATTGTTAGGACAAGATAATATGAAAATCTACCTAATATGAAAGGATTTCGAACTACCACGAAATATAATATAGACTAGTTCTTTCCCCGCGCTATTTTTTAGGCATATATCAGACAGTCAGTCATTAAGTCAATTAAACAGTTTACAACCTAAAGTCGCCTAAGCAAACTAAAAAAAAATTAATTTTGAAATAAGCGCTAAAAGAATGCACATGCATACTTGTGGACTCTTATATTTGTCCTTCGAGTAACCCTAGCTTACGCGTGCACATTTTTTGTCAGTCACCAAGTCAAGCCAGCCAAGCAGATTCTAACTTTACAAATGTCAAGGTGTTACACGAAGACAATACGCCGCCCGCGAGCATGGGCGCAAAAAGGAATCTAGACAAAACACATCAATGTTATTACACAACAATCACTATGCATTACAACTTTGATTGTAAGTAACTGGAGATAATGACGTACGTGCAAGCAATGTAATGAGAACATAAATTTTGTGTTTAGTATCATGAATTCTTTTGTACAGGTAAAATTGTTGAGCTAAGAGGTTCGTTTGAACATGACGTAATAATCAGTGATCTGATTTCCTTTTTTTTTATTCAGTTCATCAGGGAGTCTATGATCAGCTAAACGTAAGGAAAAGCCACAGAAATATATTTTTTTTATATTATGAAGGTAAAAACCAACCAAGTGTAAGTCGAATTCGCGTCCTGAAGATTTCATACAAATACTAAATTTAAAAAAATTATATTTTATCTTTCAATATCAAAAACCTGTCTGAATCGAGAGGATCATTAAATATTATTAAAAATTATATAGTATCACGTCTTCGAGATATCTACAACTTTAATAGTTCCACCATTGTTCATAACATAAGTTTTTATAAATAATCTTGGCATTCAATCGTTAATGGATTTTTGGAAACTTCTTTTTAAAACAGGTTTTTATTAAAGTGTGCATGTATGCTAATATTTGCGCAAGATTATGTTTTATTAATATTCAAGATACGACGAAGCATTTTATCAAAGGTATCATAATCAGTATCAACAGTACGATGTCCACTGTCGACTACAGGCCTAGGACTAAATCTTCCGTATAGATCGAAAATAGCACATTGAAATCATTCGCAAGTTAAAGAGTACCTATTTATAATGAAGTTAACTAAACTTTTTACATTATTTGTAGCTTTTTTTTACTTTTCTTAGTAATAAAACCCCGCATAATTTGAATGCATTCGAAATCTTTCTAATAATCCAGAATGTTAGCACTTCGCGAAGGTTTAATTTAGGTTTGTGCCAAATAAATTAAGAATTTGTGCTGTGTACTAAAGTTAGTTCCCGTTTTATAACTAGGCGGATACACTCAGTTGCACAAATATCCAATGTAGTTGTCATTACCGATATATATTTTCAAATTAAAACACATTAATTAGAACTTGAGTAGCTCGGTGGCGTAGTAGATAATCGCCGTGGCCCGCGATCGTCATTGTTAAACAACTTTTGCAAGGGTCGACCAGGGGTGGGTGACCAAAAAATTATTATTTCTTGCTATGGAAGATACGTTAAGCCATTGGTTCCGGCTGTATTTGCATTCGTTAATACCCTCCAATCCGCATTGGGCCAGCGTGGAGTGTCATGGCCCATCCACCTTGTCTATAAGAAAGGCCTGAGCCTCTGCAGTGGGGACGTAACAGGATTTATATGATAATTAGAGCTTAAAGTCTTAATTAAATCTTAAAGATCGGTAAACATGATCGATACAAGAGTACAGTATTACTGGTAGGTACTATTATAAGAATAGAAAAATAATTAAAAATAGAAAAAACGACTGCCTAAGGTTACTTATAAACCTTTCGCTAACCGAAGTGACTCTACCAATATAACTATCGGAAACCTTAACACGACTGTCTATATTTAGGATTCAGTGACATGAAAGAAAAACTAGATCTCTTATCTATCAGAAACCATAGGTTTGTATGTATGTCACTGCCGATTCATTCTAACATTATTAGGCCGATTAAAGTAAAAAAAAAAACAAAATAATATCTCATCACCATCATCACCAACCCTTTTACGTCCCACTGCAGGGGCTCAAGCCTTCCTTATAGAGGATGGGCCCACAACCCTCCACGCCGGCCCAATGCGAATTGGAGGGTATTAACGACTGCAAATGCAGCCGGGACCACCGGCTTAACGTGCCTTCCGAAGCACGGAGTAGGTCGAGATAATAATTTTTTGGTCGCCCATCCCGTGACCGACCCTTGCGAAAGTTGTTTAACGCCGCGGCGCTTATCCACTACGACACCGAGCTACTCACCAAATAATATCTGTTATGTCATAAATCAAATAATAGAGCTTATTGAGTGAGGGACACTCAAATTAGATTTTTATATTTTAAATAAGGTTTTGAAGAAAGTAGAGAAATTTTACAGAAAATATTACTAATGAATATAGTTAGGAGAACCTGATCCCTAGATTCTAAAATTACTGTTTATGCTGAATAGTCTTCATTTAACTTTGATTTGCTTTTTTAAGCACTAGTCACTTTCATTGCTGTGAGCATATTTCCTTACATATTAAGACAAGCTACCTAGAAACCTAAAGAGCCTATGTTGTGCTTATGTAAAAATATTTATATTTACATCATTACCTTAGTCAAAAATAAGAGAATAGGTTTTTCTTAATTTCGTCATTCGTTTGATCATCTCCATGTATTATAAGAAAATATTAAATTGTTTGCATCGAACAGGTTTAGAAACTACATAGATTTCAAACTTTCTTTCAGTTACGGAAAGCTACATCATACGCGGGTGATGTAAGCTGTTATTTACGCGGGCGAAGTCGTGGGAAAACATTTAGTATGAAATAAATTGATACGACAGTAAATCTCCATTAATTTTATATTGCACTTATAATTTAAAATAACGATCTGATATTACCAATAATTGACCCCGCTACTTTGATAAACACCTGAGGGCCTATCAATTTGTCCACAAATGGAAAATTTGAAATCGTTTTTATAATTTTATTAAAACCATACACATGAAGATTATTTGTGTATCAAAAGTAGTGTTAAGTCCTGTCTCCGTTGTATCATGAATTATCGAAAAATGTGTTTCTATGGTGTCGTAAAAGACGAAATTTTGTTTTTCAGAATGGGCCTTCAAATGTCATATTAATTCATACCAGTGGTAATTAAATATAGCAAGTTATTTGCTGATAGTAAAGTTTTACGGTAAGAATTTTGTAAATCAATGCGGCCACTTTTGATTTCTTCAAATTAAAAGCAAATATTTTCACACGGAAATGGTTTCCCGTGCCATTTCAATTTAATGTCTATTTATTTCAATGTAGAGATATGTAGATCAGTTCACAACCTGTTACTCTAAAGCTTGTCATCAAAGGTCGTAGTTAGTGTATGACGAATCATGCCGACAGTGAGTCGATAGTGCGCAGGCGCCGAGCACGCGACACGGTATGTTAAACTTGTGATTATTACGAACGTTTTATTTCGACTATGTATTGTGTTTTGTTGGTTACAGTGATTTTTTTATATCTATTCACGAAAATGTTTGTCAAATTTCCTATACGGCCATATTATTTTATTTATCGCTGAGGTATTTTTTAAATAACGAATCAGCGTTCGGGAATAACGTGTTTTGTTTTCGTTTTACAAAAAATTTGAGTTCTCAATTCTCTTTTTTTAAATTTCGACTTCTTGTGTGCGTTTTTTTTTTCTTTATGTGTGTATTTTTTTAGTATGTCTATAATATTTAAGTAGGTATATTAACAATTTAAGAGCTTCAATTAGTAATATTAACCTTTATTTAGATGTCATGCTTCCAAGCAGCAACATCTTTATTTGTGGGTGTTTTTTTTAACCGGTGTTACCTTTTATTCCGGAATAATCCATTTACATATTTTTTTCAAAATACATTTAAAAAAAAAATTAACGATGGCTTGTCATAATATGAACAATTTTGAAATTAACCATCAGTCAGTTTAGATAATATCAATAATAAATTCTAGATTTTAAATAATATCTAGTAACAATGTTTAAAATACTGAGATGATTCTCCTTCAAAAATCACATTTCCACAACTTTGAAACCATATCTTTAGTGATTCTGTGGAATTTTGCCTTAATAATACTTTGTGTTTTTATTTACAAATACAAGTTTCGGAGTGGTTTGATACTTCGAATAAAAATTGGCAAACAGGTTCACAATTCAACAACTTTCGATGACATGTTGTTTTAGGTATGTGATTTTTTTAGAAATCGATTTTTATTTCCCTACTATCCAAGAAATGCCCACCTTATACCATCAAGAGGAAAAGTTATTCTTAGTTTCTACACAATCTTTTCATATCTTTTTTTCCTTAAGTATTTCGTCGGAATTAAATAAATAACAAAAAAAAAATTCAAAATCGTTCCACCCCTTGTTAATTAGCTTTACACATTAAGCAAATCATTTTGATTCAAATACGAGGGTCAAACTGAAAGTTCTTAGAACTGGCCACTTATAAACAATATAATAAAAAAATAATTCTAAAATTTGAAAATATAACTCATTGCCAATATTACTGAGTATATATTTCATTCATTTGTCATTTGTTTTACGATTTGGCGGCAAATTGAAAATTGTCTGTGTCACGTCATCATGAATTTAACACGAGAAAATTTTCGTGCAATGATTTTTTATGACTTTCGATGTCATTTAAGTCAACAAGAAAGATATGATAGACTACGATTGGCCTTTCACGATGAAGCCCCATCTCGTGCGACTGTTTACAACTGGTTTTAATGAGTTTTAAACGTGGTCGCACTAATCTCACTGATGATTTACGTGAGGGACGGCCTTCTACGGCGACGACTGAAGATAACATCTGTGTTGTGCGGCGTATGATAGAGACTGACAAAAGAGTGACCTATCAACAGATTCGGACAAGCTTAGGCATCGGTATGAGTCAAGTGCACAAAATCCTCCACGAACATTTAGCGGTCAGGAAGCTTTGCGCCCGGTGGATACCTCATAATTTGACTGAGGCTCAAAAACTCCATCGTGTGGATTGGTGTCGTAAAATGATTGAAAGATTTAACGGAGGTGACTCAAATGCTGTGTTCGACATACTAACAGGTGACGAAAGCTGGATTTACTGTTATGATCCTAAAACCAAAAGACAATCTGCTCAGTGGGTGTTTCCTTTCGAGGAGTTGCCAACTAAAGTGAAGAGAGATCGAAGTGCGGGAAAAAAAATGGTGGCCTCGTTCTTTGGAAGGATAGGTCATTTTGCAATAATTGTGTTAGAGGATCAAAAAACAGTTTCTGCAGAATGGTACACTACCAATTGTTTGCCACTTGTCTTGGAAAAAGTTCGAGAGAAACGACCTCGCAGTAGGATCCTCCTTCACCACGACAACGCCTCGTCGCACACCGCCAAGCGAACGATCGACTATTTGGCGACATCAAACGTTGAATTACTGGGTCACCCGCCGTATAGCCCCGACCTCGCGCCTTGTGATTTTTATTTATTTCCAAAAATTAAAGAAAAACTTTAAGGAAAGCGGTTTATGAATGCTGAAGAAGCGGTGGCTGCGTATCGCGATGCCATTGAAGAGACCCCTAAGGACGAGTGGGCAAAGTGCTTTTCCCAGTGGTTCCATCGCATGCAGCGGTGTATTGACGTGAATGGACAATATTTTGAAAAGATATAATAAAACTAATAACTGGCTAATGTAATCAGTTTTTGATTTTCTAAGAACTTTCAGTTTGACCCTCGTAGACAAACATCGAAAAATGTGAAGATTATATAAAAATTTTATCAACAAATATCTCTTTCTCAATCTCCCCAAACATTTCGACTATGTGTTAGATAAATATTTTCAGTTTTTTAATCATGACATCGAATTCACGCCAGAAAGATTTTATAATAATGAATCAAAAATAGATAAAATTTTATATAATATTAATATTTTTAAAAGGATAATTGATTGTTTGTATTAAAATGGCTCTGAAACTACTGAACCAATTCCCAAAATTGTTTTAGCTACGGGAAGCTAAATATATCGAGAAAGATATAGACTAAAATTTGTATTATAGACATCCCATCTGTTTTTACTAAGCAATTTGCCAGCTCCTTTCTCTTTCGAACACCTAAGGAATGGAATGCATTGCCTGGTCATGTATTCTCCAGTCAGTATAACCTGGCACTCTTCAAAGCTAGAGTGAATAGTCACTTCTTGGGTAGGCATACACAATCTTAGGCCAGATCTTACTTAGGAAGCTGGCAATGGGGTTGGGAATGCGTACCCCACCCCACTCGTGCCTCCGTGGAATTTGCCTGCACGGACGGTCCGTAGTCTAGGAAAAGACTGTTATTTACCCAAGTCTATTCCTTCCCGCAGAGGGCGACTCCTCTCCACTCTCCCCGAGAGGAGTCCCAGCGCGGTGGAAGAAACCGGGCCCTCCTAGAAAGATGCCGGGTTCTTCCTATCCACTGAACTGCAGCGGGTTTTATCATGTAGGACTTCCACATTAACTTGCCCTTTTCAAGGCGGTATGGTCAAAGAGCCCTAGTTTAAGGCTTAAGGTGCATTTCTTCTATATTATCAAAACAAAGTCACATTGTACTTACCATCAGGTCAGATAGTGGCCACTCCTTGAATAAAAATAATTTAAGAAAATTTTCCCTGGAGTAGGAATTACGCGCGGAAATAGTCTAGATATTTAGAAAGCCACGGTAATCCATTATTAATATTTTCAGTTACAGTTGTGAATATCTATAGGGACGGCAATAAGGACGTCTAAGAGCTGATCATTATGTAGATAATATTTATCCGTTCTCCAATCGTCGATAAAATCATTCATAGATCACTTCATCTATATCCGTCATGCTATTTACTGACCCTTATTTGAAATTTCCCCTCCAATCCACATTGGGCCAGCGTGGAGGGTTATGGCCCATCCTCCTTAACCATCCATAAGGAAGGCCTGAGCCCCTGCAGTGGGGACGTAAAAGGGCTGATGATGATGATGATGATTTGAAATTTCACCATTTCAGATACAGCAAAAACATACAAATATATTTACTACATAGTCACGGAGTATACTCATAGAAGGAGCTCGATGACGCAGTGGCTAACGCGCTCGGTCTGCGATACGGTTGTTGTGCAACTTTCGCAACGGCCGGCCATAGGATGGATGACCAAAAATTTATATATCTCGTACTCCTCCGTGCTTTTAGACTGCATCTGCAGTCGTTTATACCCACCAATCTGCATTGGGCCCGCGTAGTGGTTCATAGACCATTCTCCCTATTCGATTCCATCTATAGGGAATGCCTGATCAGCAGTGGGGACAATGATAGGTTGTTGATGATGATGATATAGTCACGAACTATTTGTCCCTGATATTATAGCCCCAACATTTGATCTAACAACATAATTGTTAGTTACAGAGTATATTAAATTTAAAAAAAAAACTATCAAAAACTGTTTGATAGCAATATTTAAAATAAAAATGCAGTTCAAGAACCACCATAATTATTTTACATATATCACGCGATTTTGTTATTTTCACGTCATCCTACGATACGCCATCAGTATCATCGTATCCTTGGCTATTCTTTCTACATCTACTCCATTTTTGTTTTATATATATGCATCACCATCTTTTCTCTGATATTATTTTTATGTTAACATATGAAAAACGTTTTAAAGCTGATTCTTATAACAATAAATTTTCCTAGATGATATAACAGACTTATGAGATAATAATTTGTTTCCGCTTCTTTTTTGTCGATTATTTGGACATATTACAATATACCTTGTAGACTGAAATGCGATAGTTTATATTCTGTTATTATACTTGTAATAATAATATAAATAAAGTAGGTAGTCAAAATGTGATAAGTAGATAAAGTGCATCGGAATTACATATGCCATAAAATAATAGTTTCTTTTGTTCACATACGATTTGATAATAATAATTTGTGTATGATTGAGCCATACTAGAGTCGTATACTAAAACAAAATATATAATATTTAATGGGAAATCAATGACATTGATGAATAGACAATATTTACAAGTAATAGTTATGATTTTATATTTTTATGTCAAATTTACAAATAAGGTAATTTAGAATGCATTGTTTTCATATAGGTCCGTATTTTAGACTCCATTTTCATTTAACATTCTAACAAGACTCGAAACACGCGCTGATGTAAGAAAATTATTGATGTTTATACGAACTATAAATCTTAATAAGTTCTAATTAAAATCGAATGTTGATTATCTAGTAGCCATGAAAAACATGAGATGCAAATAGCTTGTTAATTAAGTAATTAATTGGTGCATAATTTCACAAACTGTTTGTTTCATGATCATATTAAATGATCAAAAATAAAAATAATATAATTTGTCTCATATAGGAAAGTTAAGCGACTTTCGTAAGGGCCTGTTATAAGATGGGTGGC